TCACGTTTGCTATTTCAAACTGCAACAAAGTAAGGTCCGAGCTGCCCCGGTAAGCTCCATTTCTGGCCAATCTTTCCTCCCTGTACTCCTTTCCTTGCTCCTCTCAGAATGGGTCATATATTTTCATTTCTCTGCACATAATGTTTTCTGCTGGGAAGAGCTTCCTCCCCCGTGACCCATCTGGTAAACTCCCCATTTCTCAATCCATAGCAACTCAAAAATACTCCAAGTCCAGCATGCTCTTTGGATTCGCAGTTCTTCAGCTATTCCTGGAAGTGCTACTTGGCACTATTTCTCCTGAAATGTTTTCAGTATCATGGCACTATTTAAAAATAGGCTTAATAAATACTAGGAGATAAAGCACACTTTTTTTTTTTTTTTTTTTTTTTTACAAGCTTTCATTGATGAAGTCGCAGATAGCAACTCTGGCTTGTATCCTGGGTCTGTGCTAGTCTGAATTTTGAGGACAAGCAACAGCAGCAGGGTAACAATATTCATGACCTTACTCATACCCACCTTCGAGATGCCCCTGCATACCAAGCCTGCGTGTGTATCCTCCCCCATGTCAACATCTTTCCCGCTGTTAATGGAATCTGAGCCCATCAGCAAGAGCTCTTTTTTTTTTCCCTTTAACCTACAGGGCAGAATATGCTAGAGCAGCTAAGGGAGAAGTAATTGAATGTACCACGTGAACAATTTGCATGATGATCCTGCAGTGGCGCTGGCTTGCCCTGGCCTCACCAGCGCTGTCCCCTGACAACCACCTTCACACTCAGCTGCACTTCATAGCTTGTTTACTGTACTGCCATCATGTTTACTCCCTCCATTTAGTTGCTGCTGGCGATCTGAAAACATTATCATGGAAACTGGTTCCTGTAACTAATGAGCATATGTTTCCGACGCGGGTCTCAGGCAGGAGCCAGTGGGATCCTCAGCGTGCCAGGACTGGTTCTCAAGGTTGCCCTTTCAACCATGATATGATGTCACATTTTTGACCTGGGCACCAAAAGGGGGATGTCCACTGGCCTAAGATGATAAACAGAATTTTGTGAGGATGGCATGTTCAGACAACTGAACCCAAAACTGATGATAGCTATAAAGGAACCTAAAAGAAATGTTGAATGCAAAATGCTAAAGACTGGCACTGGGGCATTTGGAATCTATTGAATGAAATGATTATTCCCTTCAGACTCACTGGAGGAACCCTGCAAGAATGTCGTCTTCTTTCCCACAGCCATGGATGGCTGTGCTGGGTTTCATCGAGTGAGAGGCTGTGGAATATACGCATCTGTCACGATACTGTGGAGAGTGATGCTGGCTAACCAGCGCCATGGGATGTGCATAGCTCCTGAACTTTCAGAACGTGAAATAACTCCACATAGAGCAGAAAGAGGAAGGATAATTAAGAGTACGATTGTAGAACTTGAGATGAAATTCTGTAGAAACAGAGGAAGGGAAAAACAACAAACTGAATTGAAAATCAGCCGCTTGGGGGCTGTTGCCGTGGCTCACTTGGTTAATCTTCCACCTGCGCCAGCATCCCATATGGGCACGGGTTCTAGTCCCAGTTGCTCCTCTTCCAGTCTAGCTCCCGGCTGTGGCCCGGGAGGGCAGTGGAGGATGGCCCAAGTGCTTGGGCCCTGCACCCGCATGGAAGACCAGGAGGAAGCACCTGGTTTCTGATCGGCGCAGCACCAGCCGTAGTGGCCATTTGGGTGGTGAACCAATGGAAGGAAGACCTTTCTCTCTCTCTCTCTCTCACTGTCTAACTCTGTCAAATAAATTAAAAAAAGAAAGAAAGAAAAAAAATCAGCCACTTGGGATCCATTCAGTGCTTCTGGTGAACAATGTCCTCAGGCTGAGCTGAGGGGACGTGGGCAAGGTGGACGTGCTCTCTGGCTAGTGCTGGGCAAGTGAGCAGGATCTCCTGGGTCAGACCCTTGCATTCTCTCAGCCATTGTGATTGGCCCTGGGATGCGCATGCGGACCAATCAGAGCCAGCAAAATGCGGGATACTGAGCAGGGATCGCTGAGAAAAATGCGTGCTCCTTTTCCTCTAGCCCTGAATCACAGAGTGTGTGGTTCCGAAAGACATCAGAATGACTACTAAGCAAAGCTTAGGACAAAGTCCAAGCTCTGAGACCCTGGGTCAAGCCACAGCTGAAGCGAGATCAACCTAGGAGTGCTCAGTGTCATAACCCCATCACTAGCCTTGTGTAGTATTGTGTAGTAGACTTTAGGTTTTGCTTTTTTGTTGTTGTTGTTGTTGTTTTTTTTTTTTTTTTTTTTTTGGTTAGTGCAATGGAAAGAGTTCTGACACGTAAGATTGGTAATAGATTGTTTCATTTCACAATGTACAAAACTAAGATTTCACACTCTTGCAAACAGTGACCTAAGCTCAAGTTCTCTGTTCTCTTAAGGACATCAGAATCAACAATACAATTGTGGGCTGGCGCTGTGGCTCAATAGGCTAATCCTCCGCCTTGCGGTGCCGGCACACCGGGTTCTAGTCCCAGTCGCGGTGCCGGATTCTGTCCCGGTTGCCCCTCTTCCAGGCCAGCTCTCTGCTGTGGCCCGGGAGGGCAGTGGAAGACCAGGAGAAGCACCTGGCTCCTGGCTTCAGATCAGCACGATGTGCCGGCCGCGGCGGCCATTGGAGGATGAACCAACGGCAAAGGAAGACCTTTCTCTCTGTCTCTCTCTCTCACTGTCCACTCTGCCTGTCAAAAAAAATAATAATAATAAAGCTAGAAATGAACACTGAGCTCTTTGTGGAAATGCATCAAAAATTCCGATGGGTGGATCGAGGTGGTGAGATGTGGATGGAAAGACAGAGGGGGATAAAGTAGGTGGGCAATGTTTGTGGTAGAGCCTAGGTGAAGCTGTCTATGCAGCTGTGCACTGCAACATTCTTCAGACTCTGTATGTCTGAAATTTTTTACAATAAAATATTGAAAAATTGGGAAAAAAGGACCCTCTCTCTCTCTGTCCACTCTGCCTGTCAAAAATAAAAACAAAAACAAAAACAAAATACAAGTGTGGTGCAGGAGATTAAGCCACTATCTGTGATGGCTGTGGGGAGCAACTCGGACTAGACTAAGTTACTGGAATTAAGACTTATTCTATGCATCTGCTCTCCCACAATATGGCGCTGGGAGAGGAGTAAACAACTTCTACACAGCTGCCTCCAGTTCGACCAATAACCTGCAGGAGCTGATCCTGCTCCTGATTGGAGGAGAGCAGCGTACTCGGCGTGTGGGTAGCAGAGTTGGGATTGGTGGAAGAGGACTATAAAGGAGGAGAGAGACAACATGCACCAGGAACATCTGGATAACATCTGAGCAGCCCCTGAGAGAGCCGGCCGGCGGTGTGCCGCTCCCCCGCGGAAGTGGGGAAAGTGGCAGGGGGAGCTGCCCCTCTGTCTCTCTCTGTCCACTCTGCCTGTCAAAAATAAAAAAAAATAAAAAAATAAAAAAACAGAAAAACAAAAACAAAAACAAAATACAATTGTGGTGCAGGAGATTAAGCCACTATCTGTGATGGCAGCATCCCATACACGTGCTGGTTCATGGCTCGGCTGCTCCGCTTCTGATCTAGCTCCCTGCTCATGTGCCTGGAAAAAGCCACAGAAAATGATCCAAGTACTTGGGCCCCTGCCACCCACGCGGGAGATGCTGAAGCGGCTCTTGGCTCCAGGCTTCAGCTTGGCCCAGTACTGGCCATTACAGCCATTTGGGGAATGAACCAGTGGATGGAAGGTTCTTCCTGCCTCTTCTCCCCCTCCCCCATAATACTGTCTTTTTTTTAAGGTTAAATCTCTTTTTTATTTAATTTATCTGAAAGGCAGAAATACAGACAGAAATGGAGGGAGAGAGGGAAAGACAGAGAGGTCTTCCATCCACTGGTTCACTCCTCAAATGCTCCCCATGGCTGGAGCTGGGGTGATTTGAAGCCAGGAGCCTCTTCAGGGGTCTCCCACATGGGTGCAGGGGTCCAAATACTTGGGCCACATTCTTCTGCCTTCCCAGGCACATCAGCAGGGAGCTGGATCAGAAGTGGGGCAGCGAGGATCTGAACTTGTGCCCATATGGGATGCCAGCACCACAGGCAGAGGCTGAACCTTCTATGCCAAAGCCTGGGAACCAACTCTACCTTTCAAATAAGTAAACCTTTGATAACAACAACTAACTCCTTCCCCAAAGTGTCAACACATAAAGAGAGAGGCTACATGGTAGCCCTAGACAATATCCTTGGTACCATTCCTAGTTTCTTCTCACCTTTTTCAGCTTTGGATGACATTTCCATTACCTATTCATATGCACGTATGTGTGTGTGTGTGTGTGTCTTTATTCATTTTTGTTTATTTGAAAGGCAGAGCCACAGGGAGAGGGAGAGTGTAGGTAGGCAGAAAGAAAGGGAGATAGGTTTCATGAGTTGTTTTACTCCCCAGATGCCCACAACAGTCAAGGCTGGGCCAAGGTGAAGCCAGGTACCAGGAACCCAAACCAGGTCTGCCAGATGAGTGACAGGCACTCGGCACATGAGCCAATATCTGTTGCCTCCCAGGTGCATTTGGTGCCAGAAGCTGAGGCAGAGGCGGACTCAAGCCCAGGTGCTGGGATAAGGAATGTGGGGCCCAGCAGTCGCAGCTCACCCCCCTGCGCCCTCAGTGCTGGCCACCGCAGGTCTGTGCTCACTGGTGAGCGTCTTCCTTTTGCTGGAAGGAGTGTTGCAGCAAACACCCGCTGCCCATGAGCACACGCATGTGGTGTGCACTATCAAAGCCTTTTAACAGTATTTTAGTTTTCTTACTTGGTTAGAAAGGTCACTAGAGCTCCGATGGTATTATGGATATTTTTCAGCCTCACTATTTTGCGATAGATGAGATTTCATTTAATTCATTCATTGGAAACTATTCACGGCTACAAGAATACTTGCATTCTGACTTCAGACAGTAAAGAGAAGGTGCACTGAATGCATGCATGTCATTTTCACAACAGGGAAACTTCTGAAAGTTCATGGAAAAACGCAATTGAAAGAACATGCCCACCATCAATGGAGCGAAGAGACTGACTAGAGTGGGGAAAATATTTGCGAGCTACCTATCTGACAGAGGATTAACATCCAGAATTCATCAGCAACTTACGCAAAAAACCACCCATCCAGTTAAGAAATGAACAAAGGACCTCATCAGATATTTCTCAAAAGAAGAAATACAAATGGGCAACATATATATGAAAAAATGCTCCACATCACTAGACATCAGGGAAAAGCCAATGAACACCACAGTGCCGTATTACGTCACTCCTGTCAGAATGTCTGAAGGTCCAAAGACAGAGAGTACAAGTCCTGGCAAGCATGTGGAGAAAGGGGAACACTGATAGCCTGTTAATGAGAATGTAAATTAGTGCAGCTACTGTGGAAAACAGGAGGGAGATGCTTTTAAAAATTAGAAACAGACCAGCCACGTGATCCAGCAGTCCCACTACTGGGTAATCCCAGAAGATACGAACACAGTGCATCCGAGAGATCCCTGCACCACATCCCAGAGCCGCTCACAGTAACCAAAATAGGAAGACAACCAGAGAGTCCATCATTAGATGAGTGGATAAAGGCGATTTGGTATACACACAATGGAATATGATTCAGCTATGAAAAACAGTGCAGCTCTACCATTGATGCTCATAAAATGAAATTGCCTTGAAAAAGCAAAGGACTGAATGGAAGCAAATGGAAAACATCAGGTTGAGTGAAACAATCCAGACCCAAAAGGACAAATACTCCACTTTCTCCCTTATATACGGGCGCTAACATTTATGAATACGTAAATAAAAATGGAAGAAGACAAAGAAATGCCTGTGTGTATCAGTACTGCTGCAAATGCAGTTTTGTCAATCTTTGTTTTAGTGCTCTGTCAAACCAATCATTAAGGACTTTATACTACTATAGTTTCAATGATCTGTGATTACTTTAAGATTTACCATATATGGGGAAAACAGTCATCTTTCCATTCGGTTACTTTTATAGTCCTTGCCTATATTCCTGCTGTACTAGGGTCTTTTTGCTTGTTACACTTTTTATTTGGTAGAGCATTAATTCCTTGATTGTAATGTAAGTTAAAAATCTGTTATCTCAAAAACTGAAAAAGGGGAGAGAGAAAAGGGGAGGAAGAGGGGATGGAGAGAGAGAGGAAGGAAGTATCGGTACATTAGAATTATTTCTACGAACTACGCTGACGCTGTTAAGTAAATCAACTAAATAAAAAGTACTGAAACTTATTAGAATAAATCCATCAAAAAAGGATACTGACCTTTTTCTACAAACTCTTTGAAGAAGCCTTACACAATGCAACTCTGCAAATGGGTAAACCACAAAGCATACAATTAAACACCAGTGATGACACCAGCAACCCTAAGACCTACAGCATCCCCTACCAGGGGTGGGAAACCTTTTTTTCTGCCAAGGACCATTTGGTTATCTCTAACATCACTTGCCGGTCACACAGAATCATCGAGTTCTAAATTAGCTTGCAGGAGCCATTGACTTTTGAGTCCCAGCTGCGGCGGCCTTGGGAGAGCCAGAACAGATGATTTCACGGCCTTGTACGGTCTGGGGCTGGACCGACTTTTCCCACCCCTGCAACCTTGGGAAGTTAGCTGTGTTCCCTCTCACCGTGCCCTGTCCAATGCCCACCAAAAAACCACTTAGATCCCACCCTGGCTTTCTGTTCTCAATCCTTTGCTTTTTGAAGGCAATTGGATTTCACGAGTGTAACTCCTTCAACAATATGAGGGTACTTCAAAGAGCTCACGGATAAATGGAATTAAAATTAATACACATGTATCAAGTGTTTCACAATAAGGAAGCTGATAGCTGTTTGGTGAAGCAATGGACATGTGCAAACAGCTTTGACTATTACATGCAATAGTTAGGGGATTATTTGCTGACATATATGCGATTATACACTTGGAGTCAGAAAACTCCATCAAAACCCATTCCTGTGTTCAAAACATGAAAATTCCAGCTTTAATTTGGGTAGAGACTGGTTCTCCAATTTAGGAACATTCTAGCACCTCAAACACTTCCTCTCCCATTTTTGAACATGTATCAACCTAGTGGTTGGAGAGACAGAATATATGAGAAAACTCAGTAGCCACATTTTCCTTCTAGATTTGACCTGAACTGTGAATTTACCTTGGACTATGTCTTAATAGGCCAGTGTAGTCTTTTCTCTCTCATTTCCCCAATGAGGAGTCATGTCCTTGTGAAGGGTAGTCTAGAAGTTCAGAACAGAGTCTCCACGTGAGCTCCTTCAAGACCCTCGCAAAGCTGAGCGGCTCACTGAACTGGAATTTTGTCACAAGTGATTTAACCTTGTTAAACATCGCTCTCTTCACCTGTAACAGGAGCAGCAAAACACTACCTACCTTACGGAGCTGTGAAGATGAAATGAAAAAAGAAATGCCTATAATAAAAATAAAACATCTCCATTACACTTGGTCGTAAGCTGGCAGCTGGTAAACATCCAGCAGATGCTAATTACTATAATTATTGTGTCAGCACAGATTCTCACACAGTAGTAAAAGCTGGTGAAAAAATTGTCCTTAAAGATCACAGACAAGAAAGTGACTAGGTCTCTCGATGACCTTGCGTGTATACCTATGTGTGAGTTCCAGAACGTGCAAAACGACAGCCAAACACTCCCAATGAGTGTCCACCCTCTCAACCAGCAACACTTCCCGGGACTGTGAGTGTGTTCCAATGCAGTAGGAAGCAGGTGTTTGATACGCCCAACAATCAACATATCTATAGTTGTTTGTCGTGACATACTGCAGTTGAAACAAAGAACTAGCAGTGGAACTCTATGTACTTGAGATTCTATGATAGTTCTTAGAATCTACTGCATCTGAAAGCACAAATCCATCCACTTTGTAAACCTAACACACGTGTATCCGTAACTACAGATAGACACTTTCCTTATAACTTTGTTCACATTCTACTATTTCCCTCAGCATAGAGCTCACCCGGTACGTTGAAATTACTCAATAGTCAGACCATAACGAAAGCACACCAGCATAATTATGAGTTTGATCACAGAGACCTAAACCTCAATAATTTAGTATTCCATACTTGATATCCATTCTCATTTAGAGCACCACATAACAAGGAAAGACATGCAAATAATAATTTGGTAATTATATTCCAATATTGAAAATACTTAAGTATAGACTTGCTAGTATTTGTGAAAAATGTGAATGTACCAAGTTGTAAAATTTAGATGTTTTCCCTGTGGGTTTTTTTTTTTTTTTTTTTTTTTTTTACAGGCAGAGTGGACAGTGAGAGAGAGAGACAGAGAGAAAGGTCTTCCTTTTGCCATTGGTTCACCCTCCAATGGCCGCCACGGCCAGCATGCTGCGGCCAGCGCACCACGCTGATCCGATGGCAGGAGCCAGGTGCTTTTCCTGGTCTCCCATGGGGTGCAGGGCCCAAGGACCTGGGCCATCCTCCACTGCATCCCTGGCCACAACAGAGAGCTGGCCTGGAAGAGGGGCAACCGGGACAGAATCCGGCACCCTGACTGGGACTAGAACCCGGTGTGCCGGCGGATCAAGGCGGAGGATTAGCCTAGTGAGCCGCGGCGCCGGCCTTCCCTGTGTTTTAAACACTTGGTAACTTTCAATGTCTAACTGAGTTATCACAATTACCTTCAGGGAAAATTCTAACAACTGAATACAGAAATATTTAATCATTTTTGCAACTGAATAGTCTTTTTTTTCTTCCAGGTGGTGAAGGGACCCAACTATTGACTTGACAAAGAGCATTAAGGCAAGAAAAAAAGAACTAAAAATATTCAACTACGTCATCCGCCACAGTGCCTTTCTTGTGGGATCACAGTACGTTCCTTTCTCACATTCATCAGATCGTCTCTTCAGTACTTTTATAGTCTGTGCATTTAAGCTGTGTTAAGAGACAGACAGTGAGCCAGGCTCTTTAGGGGTCCCCTCGTTGTGTGACATCTATGTCATGTGTCCCCCCAAAGGTTCCCATGCTTTGTGACTTCCCCAGGAACAGGCACATTTCTAAGGTTGGAGACTCGTCCTCCACCTGCTACCTCCACCATACAGCAGGGACGCCTGGCACTGGCCCACAGCATTCACCACTTTACACAATGTACACGACGCAAGCAAAGCCAAAGTATGCATTGCCCATTGTTTCACAGCAACCCCAATTCTCAGCAGCGACTAGATGGCAGAAAATGACCTTGAACATACAACTGGGAAACCCGTATAAAAGTCAGGGTCTATCCAAGCACCTTTACTGCATGCCTGGTGCACAGTAGGCACGAGCTGGTCACACACACCAGCGCTTTGGGTCTTAATCACATGCACTCACAGTATGCCATGTGATATGAACACCCCTGTGTTATCTTTTCAAAAAGGGTTTGAAAGGACAGGGAGATAGGCAGGGGGCTCCATCCTACTGGTCCACTCCTTAATGTCCACAATGGCCACAAAGTCTGTTCCTGGCTGAAGCTGAGAGCTGCAAACTCAGCCTTGGTCTCTCTCCTGAGTGGAAGGAATCCGATTCCTTAAGCCCTTACTGCTCCCTCCCAGGGTCTCCATTAGGAGCCAGATCCGGGTAATGACCCCAGGTAGTTTGATATGATGTATAGGTGTCTGAATACCCATCTTAACTGTAAGCTAAATGCCCGCCTGCTGTTTGTCATGTTGACACAGAGCCAAAGAAAAATGTGCCTGATCCTCTCTCCCAAATCAACGTTCACTTGAGCTTTCCTTTCTGTCTCTGACTTTCCTGAGTTCATGAAAGTTTGGTTCCACGTAGAGTCAGCGATTTCAGGAACCCTGTATTTCAATCTCAAGCTGGCCAAGTCCAGAAGGCAGATTTCAGTGTGAGTTACAGTGTGAAATCTACCTCAACGAGCATCGTAAAAGTGGCGTTGTTGGATGCTTGATTCAGAATTAAGTTGTGGTTGCATGTTTTCACTTCTGGGTTTCCAGTAGAAAAATCAGTGGGTCGTTTGCATTTTCACAGGCTGCCCGAAAGCTGTTTACTTCTCTGTGGCTTTCTCATGACCACAGTGGCACCGGGGTTCTGTATGTTGGGCTCTTTCTCCATGAATGACATGGTGAGCTTCAGCTATTGGTCATCTCCTTGACTCTGGACACAAGCTCATTGTGCAAGTGTGTGGTCGTATGTGCCTACGTCTTTATGTATCTGTGAGTGTGAGTGTGAGTGCGTGCATCTGTTTGTGTACACACCTGTATAATCTAATTCACCTTCTGAGCAGAAGGAACCCATCCAGTTGGAATTCTGTTTCCACTATCCGATTTCCACTCAGGACAAGAGGGAAAACACCACTAATTTGAAAAGCTCTGCTCTTCACTGACCTGGATGAGGCTGAGTTAGGTGATGTTTTCATAAAATAATGGAAGAGGAGCATCCATCTAGGGTTCTGAACACTTTGACTAGACCCATATCGACTTAGGAAGGCTTTCCTGTTGTGTTTCCCAAAGATAAAATTAACTGGCAAAGGATTATTCACATACAGCGTAGTTCATCTCTTGCCCTCACTCAACTCATCTCAATTTCAATCCTTAGGTCCCTCTCCTATGGTGGGGTCCAGGAAGTCTCCACATTGAGCCATTCTGACCACACATTCCCCACTTGGATGACAGACGCATCTGTGACCAGCACCTGCACACTCTAACATCTACCCTAGAATTCCCCTAAGATGTGTAAGTCGAGTCTAAATCAAATGATAGAATTACAAATGAGCCATCTATTTACATAAGCCAGATCATCACACCTTTGTAAGTATATGTTTAGAAATATGTTTACAGCTATATAAGGCCTTTTTCCCCCTCTGAGTTATAGGTAGCATGATATATGGGCGTGACCTAAAAGCTCTTAGTGCGACTCCTACTTGTGTTTCTGGGAGTAGGATGAGCCTGTGGAGGCCCAGGTCTTCTCCTGCAACAGGGCAATGGGTACCAAGTTATGGCTGCCTAGGATATCGCAGCCAAGCTTGGCCAAGCTACCAAGGCAACTGTGGATTCAGTAACATTGGACATCATGGGAATGTCTGATACTTTCCTCACATTAGCACTGTTTCTTTCTTGAATGTGATCTATAGTACATTTCTTTAAAAGCAACTTCTTTAAAAAAAAGAGGTTTCAAGGTTTCTGTTGCATTTATGTGAACTACGTTGAGTCCCAGTGCTAGAAGGTGCCAGGGGGCTTTTGTGAATGCCAGGCACGCCTAGGTGGGTGCATTGGTTGCCTCTTCCACACCCCACACTGCTCTGTGAGGCTGGAAGACTTCTCACTACAAAAGACGCTAAAGATTCAGAGTGAAGTCACCTCCTGAGGTCACCTGGCACTCAGTGGCACAGCAGAATCCGAAACTGTGTGATGGATGAGCTGGGATTTCCTGAGCGCACTTCCCGGAGGTCTCTGCTGGGATTTCAGGAATATTCTCTGTAGGAAGATGTAGCGTATGAAAAATCGGGCTGTTTGAGGATAATGGTTATCATAATTTGTAAGGCAGAGTGAAGCGATGCTTTTCTGACTGAAAAATGAAGGCGATACCTCAACATTCAGGCTCACGCTGGGCAGAATTCACGACAGAACTTCAGTTCTTTATATTCAGGGGTTTGGTTCTGCAATCAGTCACTGGAGTTAGCACACAAATAAGGAAGAGGGAAGTAGATGGTATGATGCAAACCATAAGTCATATAGATATGTTTTTTTAAGAAAACTACAGTGTCTTATGATTTTTCTTCTTTCCTTTTTCTACCCGTGGGAGTCATTTTGGTCACTGAAGATGTGCTTTTCACCAAGAAGACATCCTTCTCCTTGGCTTACCCTCTTTTGCAAATGCACGTAAACACACACACATTCTTGGACCTCACTTTTCAGAGAGCCTCAAAGCCACCTGGAGAGAAGCAGCGCAGGCAGCCAATCAATGGGCATAATGAGAGGGACAGAGAGGGCAGGAGGCTGCCCACCACAGACCTGAGGGCACTGCTGCTGGACAAACCCGACAGGTTTCCAAGACACTAATGGAGTGTATGAAAAAGTCATACCCAGTCTGAGTGAGATATTTTAAAATGGACCTTTACGTAACACATCATCTTCCTTCTGGTCAGAAAGCACACATTTGTTTGGATCGCGAGATGAGGAAGTTGTCTTGGATGACCTGGGCCTAAGCTAAATCCCATGAGTGCTTTCCAGGAGAGGACCAGAGCCCAGAGCTGGGAGAGGGAGGAGCAGCAAGAAGGAGGTGACCTGCTCTTGCTGCTTTGCAAGAGGGAAGAACCAGATCAGAGAAGGAACACAGGCAACCTCTACCAGATGGAGCGCCCTCAGCCGACAGCCACAGAAAGCTGAGTTCTGGCCAGCCGCCTAAGCCGATGAGCCCACAGCAGCCCCTGTCTGAGGCTTCCCCGAAATGAGTTCTCTCCCAGAGTGTCCAGTGAGGAGGGCAGCCCAGTCCACACTTGGACCCCAGCCCTGTCCCACTGGTCCTGGCCTTCCCATCCACACAACGGTGAGCTGAGAAACCGACTGCATCAGTCAGAGCAACAACAGAAAATCACACTCCTTCCACAGGCTCTGTGCTACTCCAAGCTGTACCAGCAGTGGCCAGGGCCGTCTTCCGGCATCTCCACAGGCAGAGATGTGCACCTGTCGGCTTTGGGAGAACGCGCACCCGGAAGCCTGTTTCTGCTTGTCTCACAACATGCATCTTTACATTGGTGGGTATTTGATTCCACTGATTGTCTGTTCCTGGCTTTTGCCCACATTTCTACAGGGTTGTTGGTCTTTTTTTTCTAATAGAATCCTAAGGGCTGTTTGTACATTGAGGAGGTGAGAACTTTGTGTGTGAGAACTGCAACTTAAGTTACCAATTGGTTCATTTGTAAGTAAATTGAAGGGTGCACACTGGCCTCCTTTTCATTGTTTTCTTTGATTCCCATGAATCTTTCATTAGATGGTGGTAGGTCTCTGGATAGCATGAGCTAAGATAACACCACGGGAACACATTTTTGCAGAAAGAAATAAACAAAAAGCAAAGACAGAGGAACGGTTGACAAAGATCTTTCTGCCTTCACCTTCTCTCCTCCAGTCTGAATTACTCTGCTCATGGCTCATTTCTAATGCTGCGACCCGAGGTCCAGGAGTAGCTCCCAATGCTACAGTGGCCACTGCCCGGGGGAAAAAGACAGCGCATTATAATACCACGTTTGCAGCAACGAGAGCGTTTTGTCACACATCCTTCAATTAAACGTGCATGCTTCCACGTACAGCTGTCTGCGACACACCGCACGAACACTGGGCGCTTCGTGTCAGCAGAGGCGTGGGTATCATTATTCCCAGGGAAATGCTGACAGGCCCTTCTCTCCACTGACACCAGCCAGCTCAGGTTATAATTACCCAGGATGCATCACTGCTTTCCCCTGCTATCCATGCAGCCAGAGCTCTCGCTTAGGAGGCAGTGCTGTGTTTATAGGCAAAGAGTTGCTCCTTTTTAATTCAAACCAGATTTGCTGGGAGCTGGGAGGGGCAGGGGGACTAGCGAAGAAAAACTGTTATAATTAGAAGATCGCAAGGAGAAACAATAAACATTTAAAACGATCAGGAGGTGAGCAGCATCCAGCCCGAAACCCAAGGCCAGCGGTGAAGGCAGGCGTTGCTGACAAAGATATCAGACTAGGTTCATTAACTGCCCTTACTGCTTTCAGAATATTTTAAATGCGGCAATTTACATTAAAATGGATTTAGTGGCGCCATCTTCTCATTACTGTCAGTTTACATTTGGGTTCATAAAGTATAATTGTAAATAAAATATGCTTTTCATTACAATGTCTATTTAGTAGAAGATGGTAGGAAATTAGAAGCATAATCGGGATTTAAATTATTAATTCGGTGATATTTTTCAGGTGCCAGATGCAGGCCCTCCACTGTGCATAATGAATACGCATGCTGGGGTTGCGTTGGGCCTCCGTCTCCGTGCCCTGACTCCCTTTCTTCCTCGTCATTTGATTTTGTCTTTGCTTCTTGACCTCGTCACAGCAGCACAGGGTAAAAAGGGTTCCTTGAGCAGTCAGCTGCCTATTATTTTCATCGCATCTCTCCTCTAGAGTTTCAAGGGGGCCCTGATACATAGCACCGGTTTCCCTGGTCTGCATTGAGAAATGAGAAGTAACCGACTGGGGCATTGAAATAGCAGCTTTATTATGGACAGAGATTGCATTGGAGCATGTCGGCAAGGCTGCGGGACAAACAGTAGAATTTCGCAGATTCAGGGCTGTCCAGAGCCTACTGAACCTGGTTTCCCCACACGTAGAGGGCTGAGTACCAACTCTTCGAAGATACCAGGTCCTGATCAGCCAAACCTGTGGCCATCACTTTATTTAGGAAAGACGTGACAGATGTGCTAAAGAAAGAATCTTGAGAGGAGAAGATTTTCCTGGACTAGCAAGCACAAAATAAATACCCTTAGAAGTGTCCTTATGAGAAAGAGGCAGATGGAGAGGAGACAGACAGAAGGGAAGACGGTGTGACTGGGCAGAGACGGGAATGGTGCAGCCCCAGGCCAAGAGATGCCAACAGCTGCCAGAAGCTAGAAGCGGTCAAGGACAGACTCTCCTGCACGGCCTTTGCAGGGAGCGTAGTCCTGCTGACACTTTGATCTCACCCCGGGGACACTCAAGTTGGACTTTGGGCTTCCAGTCCTGGGACATCAAGCATTTTTTGCTGTCTTCAGCTAGTAAATTTGAAGCAAGTTTTTACAACATCCTAAGGAAACTATTATGCTCCCCAAGCATCTCTGGCTGACAGCCCTAGGAGATGCTGAGGACAAAGACTCCCAGGAGGAAGAAGCCCTGGGAGGGTCACTCGGGCCCATGATGCCTTGCGTCCAGGCTCATCAAGCAGGCGGCTCACCCAGCTTCTAGGGAGACACAGTGATTCGAGGGCAGGGAGCAGCTTGGATGCATCAGAGATAAATCTCTCTTCATGGAGCCACTCCTCACTTCAGATCCACGGACATCCCCAAATCCCAACAAATGCAATGCTCAGACAGCTTTTGGCATTCAAATATGATTGTTATTGTCAAATGCAAGCAAAGACTAACTTTCCTGTCTCTATCAGAGAGCTTCGAAGGCCAGGAATGACATCTATGGTAGCACGAGAACAAAGGTTGTCCATAAAGTCTGCTTCACACCCACCTTCCACACTGCACGCCAGCAGCAAAGAAGGGGAAGTTGTTAATCTCTCATCCTGGTTTTATTATTTGTTACTTTTACTTATTCATTTGAAATGCACATCCATGGGGGGAGAGAGAGAAAAAGAGAGAAAGAGGGGGAGAGGGAGGAATGGAGGGAGGGAGGGAGGGTGAGAGGGTGAGAGGGAGGGATACAGGAAGACAGCTCCCATCATGGAGGAAGTTTGCTTATAAATATCACTTGCTATGAAGAGACAGTAATGAAGCCACTGGAGCAATTGTGGCATTGGTCCAGGAAGATACAAATAGGCCAACAGAACTGAAAGCCTTTGTGTACATACAGCAGGAAAAATCAACTGAATCTCAAACTCTCACTCACTCCCTCCTCCAATGCACTCACAACCCACGTCACTTGCATGACCCCTACATGCGTGCAGGTTTCTTCGCATCAGCAACTAAGCAATGATTTCTAGGCAGGCGTGCAATGCAGGTCTGATGTTCTCTACCCAGGAACAGCTTCAGATCTTTGCAGCACCAGTCCCAAGCCCTACACTCCTTGGAGTCAATGAATTTACTTGAATGGTTCACAGGGCTCAGGAAAACATACATCTTTGCAAGTTTACTGTAAAGGCTCTTACACAGGTTCCGGTGAAAAGATGAACAGGGCCAGATATGGGAGGAGGAGCTTGGAGCCGCCTGCTCTCCCCGTGTGCACTACTTCCCAGGAACCTGCACATGTCCTGCTACCTGCTAGCTCTCCAAACCTTGTTCTTTGGGGGTATTTATGGAGATTTTATTACGCAAACATGATCAAAGCCTGGATAATTGTGATGAAATCTGACTGGACACCAAGGTCATCAGCCAATGTCAACACACCAGGTGGGGAAACCCCGTAAGACTCGTCTGCCCGGATTCTTCAGCAGTTGTTTCTCCTGGCCATGAGGCCGAACCCTTCTGAAAGGCAGGCTTTATTGTCTACTCTCAAACAAGGCAGGCCAGAGAAATGCGCCCTGGTCAGCAGCTCCAAGGCGGGGTGAAAGGGTAGGGTGGGGTGAGAATGGAGTTTCTATGACTCACTCCCCGGGGAGGAGAAAGGCAAGTCTCTGTGGTTTCCCTTGGGGAGGGAGTTATGAGCCAGGAACCGTGGGTGAAAACAAAAATTTATATAACATAAAGTCATAGCCTTGAGACAGCCCAATTTACATAATGACATTTACTGTATTATAGCTGTAGTGTTGCGGATCAGTGGGGAGTAGAGTCTTCTAAAAAGTCATGCTCAGGCCGGCGCCGCGGCTCACTAGGCTAATCCTCCGCTTTGCGGTGCCAGCACACCGGGTTCTAGTCCCGGTCAGGGCGCTGGATTCTGTCCCGGTTGCCCCTCTTCCAGGCCAGCTCTCTGCTGTGGCCCGGGAGTACAGTGGAGGATGGCCCAAGTGCTTGAGCCCTGCACCCCATGGGAGACCAGGAGAAGTACCTGGCTCCTGCCATCGGATCAGTGCAGTGTGCCGGCTGCAGTGCGCTGGCCGTGGCGGCCATTGGAGGGTGAACCAATGGCAAAGGAAGACCTTTCTCTCTGTCTCTCTCACTGTCCACTCTGCCTGTCAAAAAAAAAAAAAAAAAAAGTCATGCTCAGACAGTAGATGTCTATCTCAAAGTGGTTACTACAACAGGACCCCCAGGTCATGCAGTTGTTGGGAGAATTATTTTTACATGTCAATTACTTCTGGGTAAATGAAGAGAAGTAGCCTTATATTAATTTCATTAATACTATTGACAGGCAGAGTTAGACAGAGAGAGAGAGACAGACAGAGAGAAAGGTCTTCCTTTCCCGTTGGTTCACCTCCCAGATGGCCACTACAGCTGGCACGCTGCGCCGATCCGAAGCCAGGAGCCAGGTGCTTCTTCTGGTCTCCCATGCGGGTGCAGGGCCCAAGGACTTGGGCCATCCTCCACTGCCTTCCCGGGCCACAGTAGAGAGCTGGCCTGGAAGAGGACCAACCGGAACAGAACATTAATACTATTTCTAACGCTAAGGAGCCCCATTCATGGTGCTAGGCTTTTTCCCAGGGGATCATTTTTCTTCTTCAAGGATTTAGAGAAATTCTTTGGAAACTAAGAAAGTGAGCTCTTTTTCATAATGAATAGAAAAAATGTCCTTTGTACTTGCCATTTAACATAATTTCATTTTTTAATTTTACACAGTGTTTCTAATTTCTACCTAGTCAGTCATCATTTGTGATGCCTTGGTATTGTATTATATTGGAAACAGGGGCTCTCCTATGTTGTGTTTATAAATATAATTTCCCATTTTTTCCTTCTAGCTTGTGTGTGGTTCCACTGCTTATATCACTCGCTCATCTGAATTTTTTTTCTACTGTATGGAGGAAATATACTGTCAGTTTGTTTCTGATAGCTCAATATATTTCTTTTCCTAGGTTGGTTTCCATTTTACAACTTTGCTGAATATACTATCACAAACTTCAAAGATAAATAGTTTCATGTTAAAATCCGGGAAAAGTTCAAAGAACTGAGTAGTTTTATATTTGGAGAGAATCAATGGTCTTGGTTGCTAAAAATTGCTCTCTTCAAACACCTAATTGTGCCAATGGGAAGCAGTATTTGGGTCTTCTGTGTTTGGAATAAAGCATTTCTATTCCCTCACTAGTTCTTAGGGGTTTACCAAAAAACATGCACGGTGCTCTTGTAGCCTTGCGGAGAAAAGCAACAGGAAGAAGTGGATCAGAAATGGAGGAAACAGGTGAGATTTAACTATGTTTTTGCATTTGAGTCACTGTTGAATTCCTCTCTACCTCCATTTTTCAAGTGGCTCAAAGTATCAGAACCCTGCAGATATGAATTCATAATTTTCCTCTGTGCTGCTCATTTACTAACTCATTTTTCTTCTTTATTTTGACAGCCCTCAAATATCCTAAAAGAAAAAAATGTCTGCATATTGCAGAAGTGCCATTATCATAGATGAGTGTTTGGGACCACACTACAAAGGGCTGTCTTTTGTTCTTCCTGATTCTGACGGTGACTTTGAGTGTATGTGCGTTCTTTCAACATCTGCAATTTGGCTTCTTAGCGTTCAACATTCATGGTAGCTGTGCCACGTCCCTGAGGTCACACAGCCCAGAGGCGAGCATCCGGGGAGCCCACCCTGAGCTCTGTGCCTCTCTCCTTTTTGTAGCCATCTAGAAAGTGCCAAGCTCATTTCCTACTTCTGGTTACCCCTCTGCTTCTCATTCCTCCAGCTATCAGTTCAGCACTCTACCAAAACTGCTTTCCACTTTAGACCACCTGGCTCCATTTTGTAGCAGGTTGTGTGTTCTATCAGAGCAGGGACATTTGCCTGTCTTCTCTTCTGTATCCAGTGCCAAGTACAGAGACGTCCCTCCAAGGGCCCCACTGTAGGAATGTTCACGCCTTTGGGAACCTTCAAATACTGTTCTTAGTCTTCATTGCCAAAAGTCTTGGTTTTTCTTCCTTCACCTTTGAGTCAGATGTCAGATTTCACCAAGGTCAAGTTCTGCCTCTCCTCCTCCACACACTCTGCCTGGCTGATGGCTTCCACAGTTTTATTTGCTACAGATACACTGATCACTCCTATTTCTCCACCTGCAGCCCTGTTCTCTTTCTCAAACTTCGGACAGGCATTACTCCACGTGAAGCTGAGAAGCGACCATATTCTGAATCAACTGGAGTATT